TGCTCTTAATAATATGACACATTTTGGGGCTTTTATCAGAATTGGAAGAGTTATTCAAAAAAGATGTATGCTCCAGCCTGGTTTGCATAGTTAATGGATAATTACTATTTTCTTGCGTGTTCCAAAATAATGACTCCATTTGAAATATCAAAGGGGTTCACCGGTTTTCACCCATGTGACCAAAGGGAAGTTAGAAAATCTGATTACTGCCATGACTCTGCACTTTTTGGTTCTGTTTAAGTTTTGTTTTTGAGTTTTCAGTTATACTTTTTATTCTTGTCTTTCTGTGTTTTCTAGTTTATTGGGTTCGTTTCCATTTTGTGTTAGAAGAGACATAAACTGAGACTTTTTACTACAATTACATACAAAAAGAGAAGTATTTTTCACCTAATAACACCGGACCTCCTATCAAGCATGAATTTGGAAGAATTATGCTAAAGGACAGTTTCCTTTTTTTGGAGTACTGGTCCACCATCCCACATAGATGAAATAATAAAGATGAAGTAACCTAATTGATTAGAAATATAAGACTGAATGGGTATTATTTGCTTGATGATCTAAAACAAACATTGAAACATCTAGCATTAAATTTCAGAGCGCAAATGAAGAGCTTTGAACTACAGCTAAAATCCAAACCTGTGGTTGAAATGCAGTAAGTATAAAAAAGCTCTAATTTTTCTGACATCATGTGGAGCCAATGGAGATTTGGGTGGCAGCAGCCCAGCTGATTTTTCAGCCAAAGCAAAGACGAGATCCTGAGCAGTGGCACGGGAAGGGGGGTGCTGCGGGGGCTGCAGCCTCCCTCGTCATAGCATCAGCCCCCCATGGTGAGGGGCTGTGGAGTAACATAATATTGTACTTAAAGACATGAAATTATTTATGTATTTATTTTTTAAAAGACTGTGTTTGATATGGGATTAAAATGATGGGCTGTGTACAAGATATAAACTAATGATTCATTATTTTAATATTTCATAAAAAAAAATAGGCTACTCCCCCGGAAGCTTCCGCCACCTCACAATCGTTTAGGCATGGCTAGCAATAGGCAGCAGAAACGTATTTCTGACTAATTTGAGGTTGGAAATGGTTTTAATTCCCCTATACTGCCGCATTTAGCGTTATTTATGTGCCTATTCGTCTTAGTCCTGTGGCTGAAGAAGTCTACGCTAGAATAAGGCTGCATATCACTAAATATTATGTCTGTATTAAGCTATTTAGTGATAAAATATGAAATTAGTAAATTTTTTTTGTTTTTGTGTTTTTTGTTTCAGATATGAAATCATTCCCCATATCCATAGTCGAATGGACTTTCAAGACGTTCAATGCTCAGTTTAGGTTATATTTAGGCCATGTTTTATTCAAGTATTCCTGATCCTGTTGATTGGGAGCTGTTGTTTGTTTTGAATGATTAAAAGAGAAGAAATAAAGTTTAAAATGTTCATGCTTTGTTCCGATGCATTTTAAATGGCAGTTTTTGGCGACAAATGTAGGCCTACAATATTATGTTAAAAACGTCAGCCACAGCCCTCAACATAATGACGTTTTTCCCAACCCAGCCATCAGCCCCCCTCGCTTGAAACAGCTTCCAGCGCGCCTGATCCTGAGATTCTCTTACAGAACACTCTCTTCTCTATAAATACACCTGGGGATCCTGCCAATGAAACAACCAGGGTCGTTAACAAGAGGCAGACCTGAGAGGTCCAGCCCATGATGGTAACAACTTTCTTCAGTAGACAAATAAGACATCAAAAGCCAAAAACCTATTTAGTTAAGATTTGTTTCAAAGTTCCATATTTAGATTTTTTTTTCTTTAATTTTCATCGAAAAAACATGTTCTTTGCTTGCAACAATAATGGAACAAAAATAACTCCATAATCCTGCAGGTACTGCCAGCAACCTTTTGCCACATGAGGTCGAGCATTATCATTGAAAATGATGTGGATAAAATGTACAAGTTGTAAAATGTTGTAAAGCGGGGAGAATGGCGCTAGCCTTACCACAAAGTGATGTCACTGCCGGAAGATGTCAGGAGTGAGGTGTTGCAATATTTGGGCAAAAATGGCCGTTCCTGGACTCAGAGATTGCGACGAAAATTATTATTATTTTTTTTTTTTACTGATTCACACTAATTTCATTAAATCATTGCAAACGTATTAGTTTTAAGTATAAACAATGATCCATTGATTATTCCTTGCTGACCAGACTTTTCCTTTAAAAACAATAGACTCAAACTAAACTAATTAACTACTAGGTACACATGGCAAACTAGAAAAGTACTCGGGGAACACAGACCTCCACCAAACAGCAAATTTTCATCCAAATTGTGACTTACACCTAAAGTTTAAACTAGAACCTGATCTGGATCATTACCAAATGTTAATGAATCTTTTCTTTGAATAAGGTGCGCCTTTGGTAACAGTTTCCTTAAAATCCTTTCATAAGTTTATAAATAAGGCAAAGCGTGTGTCTGCAGCCTCTGGTGTCTGTTCTGTTCTCACTTTCTTCATTCATTCTGCTTTCTTGTTTGATCACCAGATCAAGACTTTGAGCAACAAGTAGCTCACCTTTCCTGTGTGTCTTTGACTTCAGTCTAATACTTGTATTTGTTTTTTAAATTTTTTTGTCCAATTCTGAAGCTGTCAGTAATCACTGCTGCCACATTCTGGTTTAGGGAGGAACTGCTGGTTCCGAAAATAAAGTTAAAGAATCCTTTAAAAAATCCCTTCATCCTGATTATGATGTGGATCATCACCAAAATTTAATGGATCGTTTCTTGGACTGAGGTGCACCTTTAGTAAAAACTTTAATTAAAATCCATTCATACCTTTTTGAATTATCCTGTACAAACAGACAGACAAACACACAAACTCAACTAAAAACATAACCTCCTTGGCAATGGTGAAAAGGTAAACAAAACAAAATACAGGTACCAGTTCATAATGCTAAAAGTTTACCAAAACAGTATTTAGTTAGATAATATTTTATCAAACGATTTCCCTATTAAAAAAACAATAACCATTTGGATAATTGATTCTTAACCCCTTAAGCCAGGCGGGCCCGGTACAGGGCCCAACTGATACCTGCTGATGTTTATCTATTTATAAAAATGGCCAATCGTTTTTCACAAATACTTTTTTTTTTATATAGCAGTGTAAACAAATAAAATTTGGCATGTGACTCTGGGAGTAATACAAGAGCAGGTATTCATTTTTAGCCAGATCATAGCCCCTAATCCCCAGTATCATTGGAAACTAGAGGCTCAGACCTTTCCAAGGAGGATTAGAGGTCATTGTGCGGCCGTTTCAGGTGATGTAACCGGGTTACATAGGCTTGCTCTGTTATTCTTATTTTCTATTCAGTTTGGTGATATTGTTGGTAAATTTCAATGAAACAACGACTAAATCCTAGGAGCAAAGCCTTTGTCTTATGTAGAAGGTCTCCAATAATATAAATCAGCATATTTGTCCGACCAGATTCCCTTTTATGAGTGGAAATATGCACCTAACTTTCTATTTTTGTGCTTGATGGAATAAACAAGGTAGGAACCCTTTTAACTTCAGCTAGGTCTGGTTTATTAAAAAATGTTGCTATTAGCTAGCAGACACAAGGGGAATCATTTTAAAGGGCTCTTTGGTAATCTTGTAGCAATTAAATGTAAGGAGCATTAAAGGAAACACATAAAGATAACATCTTATTAGTGTTTTAAACCTTATAGAAATATAAGTTGTCTAAAATGTAAAGGAAAGCTCTGTTTACACCTTTTTAGGTTTTCTCTTCCTGATCCTTTCATGAGAAGAGATCACTTGGGACAAACTCTTTATTTAACATTTCATAATGTATATTAAGTAACCATAAGACATGACAACAGATTTTGACAGATCAGGGTTAGAGATGGCCTCACTTATCAACTGGTTATCTCCATGAAGTCGGCCCCAAATCAAAATTAAAGAAACGTTTTATACGCCCAGTCTTCCCCATCAAATCACATCATCATTGAGACATCCATGACTGAGGCATGTCAAAATATTACATTTTATTCTTAGATCAAGATCATCACTCTTATCTAATTCCAAAATCTTGGGTACATACATAATGAAGAGGACTTTTTATCCTAACAGAAGAACTGTTTAACAGGGTCATGCACCTTTAATAAAATTAATCCTAACGTAGTTTTCTGAACAACAGCTCAAAACATGTTAGCATTGGTTAAACTATCATGCAGTATCTGTTAGATTCTGTTGGCCTGCTTTACACAACTGGAAAACAGATGACATACTATTATATGTCTCTTTGATTTGTTATGTGTGATGAGCTTTGCAGAGAGGATGCTAAATAATAAATGGAAGTTTAATGATCTCACAATGGAGAAATTAACTCTCTGTATTAACCCCATCTTTTTGGGGAGCAGTGGGCTGCCACTTTGCAGCACCCAGGGGTTAAGGGTCTTGCTCAGAGACCCAAAGTGGCAGTCTGTGGGAGTGGGTTCTGAACTCACAACATCAGGATTCCAAGCCCTATGCCCTAATGGCTGCCACTCCCCTCTGCCTGGGCTCTTTATTCCTACATTCCTCAAACAATATGTTAAAGAGAGCTTGATGATTGATTGTTACAAAGGAGTAAATTAACAGATAAGGAGAACCAAGTAACTACGTTAAATGAGGGGCAATAATGCCTAAAATGACCAAACAGATGCAACAGATATCTGATTTTTTATTTTTTTTTTTGTAAATAAGGGGGGTGTTTTTATATAGTTAGTTCTCATTAAGATCTAAAAAGTTTTAAGAGAGACTTTAAAGGCGTTTTTTCCCCCGCTTGTGACCTTTGGAGGGCTCCACAACTGCAGGTGCTCTGTGCTGTGGGTTGGTTGGTGATTCCTTGCGCACACAGGCTGAGCTACGCCTTCAGCACCATGATGTTGAGATCACATCGGGAGGGCGGTGCAGAGGAGAGTAAGAGAGTGAGCTACGTGTTGCTGCGCAGCAACAGATAGAAAGAAGAGCAAGAGAGAAACAGAGAGGAATTCCCCCTGCTCAAACAGAGGCGACTGTCAGGGCGTATCAGTCCCTCTGCCTTCCTTGAATTTACTGAAATAAATATAGCCTACCTGTAGCTGGAGGCGCTGCAAACCCCTCATGAATGAAGGATGTAAGGACAGACAGATGCAGCAAGCCTTCGGTGGCTTTTAGATACTTAAAGGAGCAGATATTGTTCCCTGTCTGGAGGCAAATTTCTTTCTCATAGCGGATCGTCTGGTTTAGTCTCATCCTATTTTTAATAGAAGCTGAAAATGTTTGCAGCTTTTCGTTTACTGCCGGTCCAGAGGTTGCCCTCTAACTGCGATGTGCCATCACTAAAAATGAGGACTTTTATGGAGAAATCGGAGAACTGATCAAACGTTAAAGTAAGTTGTCTCCATCTGCCTTTGTTTAAAATGCCGTATAATAACTCTTCTTTATTTATTGAAACAGACTAGGGGAAAGCAATTCATTTCGTATCTAATGTAAATAATTATTCATTTCTCATTGTGTGCAGTTGAAATAACTTCTCCTCTCTCCCTGTCTGTGATCGTGCGTCTCCTTCTATCCGTTTTTTTTTTATATGATTTGGTCTTTCACTCTCCTCCTTTCTGTCTCCTCCTTCCATCCTTTTATCTCTGTGCGCCGCGCGCCTGTGGTATGCGTGCGTCCCCCGTCCTTTACAGACATGACAGGTCAGGTCCTTGGGGACACGGCCGGTGGGTCTCGGGTGGACGACAACGCTGGCATTCGCATCAACGTGGGCGGCTTCAAGAAGCGTCTCCAGTCGGACACGCTCTCCCGTTTCCCCGAGACCAGGCTGGCGCGTCTCCTCCAGTGCCAGTCCAAAGAGTCCATCCTGGAGCTGTGCGACGACTACGACGATGCGGAGAAGGAGTTTTACTTCGATAGGAACCCCACTCTCTTCCCCTATGTGCTGAATTTCTACAACACGGGGCGGCTTCACGTCATGGCCGAGTTATGCATCTTCTCCTTCAGCCAGGAGATCGAATACTGGGGCATCAACGAGTTCTTCATCGATTCCTGCTGTAGCAGCGCCTACCACTGCAGGAAAATGGACCAGGACAGGGGGAACTGGGAGGACAGGAGCGATGATGGGAGCACCACTTCCTCCTTCGATGATCTGTTGGAGTTTTACAACGACGCCACCAAGTTTGACAAGCAGCTGTTAGGGAGCGCACGGAGGCGCGTCTGGTTGATGCTGGATAACCCCGGTTACTCTGTGGCCAGTCGTATCATCAGCATCCTTTCCATCCTGGTGGTGCTGGGCTCTATTGCCACTATGTGTATGAACAGCATGAGCGAGTTCAGCGTTATGGACAGCAAGGGCGAGCCCACGGAGGACCCGCGGTTTGAGACAGTGGAGCACTTTGGTATCGGCTGGTTCACTCTGGAGCTGGTGGCCCGGTTCGTAGTGGCTCCAGATCTCCTGCGCTTCTTCGATCATCCGCTCAACGTCATAGACTTGGTGTCAATACTTCCTTTTTATCTGACGCTCCTCATCAACCTGGTGGCGGAGAGCACCCCCGCGCTGGCGAACCTGGGGCGGGTGGCGCAAGTTCTGAGGCTCATGCGAATATTTCGCATCCTGAAGTTGGCCCGACACTCCACCGGGCTGCGCTCCCTGGGGGCCACCCTCAGAAACAGCTACAAGGAAGTAGGCCTGTTGCTTCTCTACCTGGCTGTAGGTGTGTCGTTTTTCTCCGTGATGGCCTACACGGTGGAGAAAGAAGACAGCGAGGATCTGTCCACGATCCCCTCCTGTTGGTGGTGGGCCACCGTCAGCATGACCACCGTGGGCTATGGAGACGTGGTGCCCGTATCTATAGCGGGCAAATTAACCGCCTCAGCCTGCATCCTGGCCGGGATCTTAGTTGTTGTGCTTCCAATCACGCTCATTTTCAACAAGTTTTCCCTTTTCTACAAAAGACAAAAGCAGCTCGAAATCGCAATGAGAAGCTGCGACTTCGACGATGGTTTAAAAGAGGTTCCGTCCGTTAACCTCAGGAACTATTACGCTCACAAAGTCAAATCTCTAATGGCCAGTTTGTCCAACATGAGTCGGAGTTCACCCAGTGAACAGAGTCTTAATGAATCATTACAGTAAAGCTCTGTGGAACTGATTCATTCTCAATGAGGCTGCTGGAGGAGCTGTCCAGGGTGCTGACACCGCTGGATGACACCGCCTCTCTGTAGCTCAGTGCAATAATGTTAACGTGTGTCAGTTCCTGTGTGACAGCTTAAAGTATCAGAAGAAAAAAACTTATGATCACCCACCTGCACTTTTATTACACGCAAACTGGCTTTGTTTTATTGAGGTTCTGTGAAGTTATTATCAGTGATAATTGTTGTTTCCTTACAGGAAGCAGAAATATGTTGTATCACTCTGAGTGAATAGAACAGAGATCCTTGGAGTGAAGCAAGGTCAGCAGCTTAGTATATTTTACTTTCTCAAAACAAATCAGAAAATTATGGAGATTTGTCCTTGGTAGAGATTGGTCCGTTTCCAAAACTGCAGCTTTCTATGACGCCTCCACATAGGGAAGATTGCTGTGGTTGTTGTCTTGGTGCTTAGAAATATTGGAAAAGAAGCTGCTAATAAAATTTCTCCGTTTTAAATACCCAGAAAGCTCATGCAGTTACATAATTTTATTGAGATAGGCTGTCAGAGGAGGGCTAAGAAAAAAAGAAAGAAAGAAAGAAAAAAAAAGCTGTTATTGCCATTTCTTATTGAGTTCTGGATGCCTCTTAGGAATCTTGGACAGTTTCTGGGTAAAGTACAAAAAAACAAATTCAGTCTTTGGCAGCGATACAGAAAGATGGTGTATTACTACAAAAAAGTGCCTCCTGATGCCACAATTTTACTCTATTGCTGTGTCCGAACGTCTGCCCTAATCCCTATATATAGCATTATAGTGGGGTTACACCGTTTTAAATGAGTGACCGAATGTCTAGTGGATGAAAAAGTAGTGGACTCAAAGTTTCCCACAATGCATCTTGAAAAGTAGTAATCATCCATGGTCACCAAAAGAGCAGATATATCCCAGATTGCTTTATGGGATTGGTTGTAGCAGCAACAAATTACAAAGATGGTGCAGGCACATTGCGCGAAGGTGGAGTAATTTGATCAATAGGGAGCGAAAAGTAGTGACCATCTATCCCTATAAAGTCCACTATATAGTCACTGCTCAATGTAGTGACTGAGGGATTTAGGGGTTAGAGTGGACATTTGGACATATTGTTTTAATTTAGCTCCAATGTTCAAGCTTGGCACTGAAAAATGATGGCATACCTTAGCTGAGGGGATTAAAGTCCCAAGTCCTAAAACAGTGACATTATTGGTAACAAAGTTGTATGTCCACACAATATTATTTGGTAATATATATGTGGTTTAATCGATTAGATTATCGAAAACACAGCCTCCTGATGGGTTAGTTGTTAGCCTTCCAGTGCTCTGTAAAAATCTCAAAACTCTGTGCAATCTGTCTTTCCATGGATAAAGGAAATGATTATAACTTCACTGGACCTCATTTGAAGTACTCTAATCCAAGGTTTTATACTCAAAAGTCCACTCATTAAAGTAGTCAAATATGTATTCAGAGGCACCAAATAGACAGTAATGTTTTATTGTCTAGAGTTTAATTATGACCGTGATCCATTATGTAGCTGCACTTTGGATAAGAAAAAAAGGTCCCAGTGTTTCTCTGTTAAAGCTAAATTGATGTTTATGTGTGATGTTGCAAATGTGGTCTAAACTAAATACATTGAAAATAAAAACCCTGTTAGATTTCCATGTTTTGTTCACAGAAGACCACATTTATAGTGGGGGCCAGGGTGGGGTGAGTGTTTTTTTAATGGGGGTGTATTAAAAAAAAAGTTTAACACTTACATAAAAAAATAAGGCCAAGACCACTTTGTTTTATATATTAAATGAGCCACAAAGCCAACATTGCAGGCTTTTGATCTAGAGCAGGGTTTCCTAAACATTTTAGCCATGACCCCAAAATACCACTGAAACCAAATGGAGACCCCCAAAAATACACTGAAATTTGACATTTTTGAATAATATTTCACTTTGTATCTTTTTTTTTTATTTTAATCAATGTACTTCACTAACTAACAATTTTTTTTATATATTTTTGATTGATTTTGAATTTTACAATTAAGTTCTATATTGGTAAAATAAATAATATTACACCTATTTGATTTATTGGACATTCATACCGTAATTATGTATTTGGAGACATTTTGGCCGTCCATATACTTCAGGGATCACAGCACATTTAATGTAAAAAAAAAACATATTGCAACCCTCCTAACCCTTAAGAGCTCCTGACCACCATTTGGGAAGCCCTGATCTAGTAGATGAAAACTATGATCCCATCCTCATATGACTGAAGCCATATTCATTTTTAAATAATTGTTAAACTGTAGAGTTAAAGATTTTTCAGGGACCAATGACTCATAGTCTCCTCTGTCAGCACATACTGTATCATTTCAAGAAATTGATCATGTTTTCAGTACAGGGGCCAGAAACTGCTCCACAGGGGTACTGGCCCCTGTTGGCCCCCTTGTCTACAACCCCTCCTGTTTGTTCATGTCCAGAGCAGGGGCCAGTTCATTTCCCTTCCTGTCAGCGTGTGTCACATACTCATAAGTCTGTTGGAGGAGAGAAGTGCTGTTACTGATGACTGACATAGTATCTTAAACGTACTGGCAGCCACACCAACAACCATTCAGAGGCAATTTTTATTTATTGAATTCTGCTTATACGGGGTTTCCTATCTTTTTTTTAATTATTATTATTTTTCTTCTGCATCATTATTTTAGGTTTAAGAAAGCAGATTTTGTTTTTTGTTTTTTAACTTTTTTTCATTTCATGTCATAGCATAGCTTTTAATCTACTGAAGCGAAAATATTCCAACCTTAAATGAGAGAGTTAAAGATACTTTTATTTATTTATTTTTTTTATAAATTTATGTGTTTGATAAAAAAAAAACAGTTAGTAATTAATTATGGCCATTGACGGAATGATTTAATGATATAGAAGCTTTTGAAAGAAAGCTAAATTCCTTTTTTTGTTTTTGTTTTTCTGTCATGGATGTCAGACTAGTCATCTGAATTAAATTGATAATCTGGCATGCAGATATGGACAGATTTTTTTATTACTTGAGTTGCAAAGGTCGCTAACACACAAAGATCATCATAGTTCTGTCTGCAAGGCGGATAAAGTTCTACAAAAAACTTTTTCACACTTAGTTCAATGTAGCAACTACAACATATGGGCAACTTTATAGCAGCATAATTACCAATAATCCTCATCCCAGTTAATCCCAATCTTATTCATAAACCAATTCAATTTGCTCTACTGTGGCTATTTTTTCCCATAATACCAGAAAACCTTGAAGGAGGGGTTAGACAAAAATAAGAATGGTGTATTTTTTCCCAGTGATTTAAAACAAAATCACAAAAATACATAGAAAAAAAGGACATGTTGTTTTATATGCATCAAACTTTTTTCGGTTTTCAGTTTTATATGTTTCAGTTTTATCTGAATCGTAGCTTTAATGAGCAAACACACTGTTGTATAGTTGATATAGTTGCCCTGGTGTTAAATTCTTCTAGTAAACATTTAAAAAAACACAATTGATGAGAATTTTCAAAGCTGTTAGATCTGATTCTTCAAAGTTAGTGATGTACCTGAAACGTTTCTTTAATGTTCAGTTTTAATCTACTTTCATCAAAGTATGGAGTACATTTTTGTTCTATTCTTGTTTCAAAGATACATTTTATAAGTGGAAAGTGTTATTTCTGTAATCCAGAAAAAACACTTGATATTTAAAAAAAGTTTTTCATAGTTTAATGTTGCAGTTTTAGTAGATTTCTTTTTTCAAATTAGTTTTTTAATTTCAGTCATAAATTTTTTCAGTATGTTTTTTTTTACATGATCATTATATTCTTATATATTATAATATGATCATTTCAAAAAAAGTTCACAGATATTTTCTTATCTTATTTGTTCAAATTTCCCTTACAAGCTGCATTCTACAGATCTCATTTTCTTTATTTCACATTTTTGAATATCCATTTACATAATTTGCTCCTTGCTTACATCAAATCACTGATTATTTATTGATTTTAGCTTAATAGAAAAATACATATATAAAAAAATATTTCTTGTTATTTGTCTTTTGGTGTTTTAATTTTTTAACTGAAATTAGATGCAGTGAATTCCATTTCTCTTTTTCTTCTTCTTTAGTGAGCATTGAAAGCAACACTTCTGATTAATGTACCAAAAACTGAAAAAACAACAGTATTTATAATCATTATTCTTACATGTACAAGTCAAAACTGTCTCATATTTGCCCTGTTATAATATGACATTGTTTTCTTGTGCTAAAAAAACAAACTAATTAGGCTTGAATAACCATATGTACTTTTTATGAATAGATTTACAATTTCAGAGGTACATTTTCAGTTTCTTTGCATTTTACTTAGAAGGTCACTTTAAACTCTTGTTAAATCCTAATGAGGAAAACTAAGTCTTTCCAGCATGTTTTTTCACACATTACCGGTGAGCTCGCCTGAATTGATATTTTCCCTTAGAGTCCAATTAAATCTGTCTCCTTTTGTTTACTCCTGAACCTTTAAAGATTTTCCTCCTGGGAGACAAATCTACTGCACTGCAGCAGTATCAAACAATATGGAAACTAAGCTTTTGACAGTAAATGACTCCAAAATCACAGCTGGTGGCATTTCTCAAATCAGAACAAGACAAAGTGTAGAATACAAATAAAAAAAATAAAAAAAATAGGTCAAAGAAAATCTAGCAGGATTTATATATTTCTATTGGTTAGATGTTTAAATATCTTTTGCATTAGTTCTAGGCTTCTTAGGTCTCCTGCTGGTATTATTTATGGAATTAATTTTGTTCTATTATTGTTAAAAGCAAAAACAAGCTTTGTAAATGGAAAAAAAAAACAATGCAATCCAGGAATAAAACTCTTAAAAACTTCTTAATCAAAAAAGGTTCTGAGAGAAAATTAGCGGGGGTTTTTCCGTTTTTTTTGTTTTTTCATTTATTTTATTTATTTATTCTTTTTTTTTTTTTTTTTTTTTTTTTTTTTTACACAGTTTTTTATGTTTAAATGTTCTTCTTGAAATTTCTCGTTTTAAGATTGAGCTTTAAGAT